TCATCAAGGGAAAGAGATGGGATGTACCAGAAAGATGTTCATATTAAGTCTCTTATACCAGGGACAGAGGCCTCGGGTAAGCTATGAATACGGCTATGTAATGATCCTTTGCTATGAATTGAAGAGAATGAGCCTCCAGATTGACTTGCACCTCCAAGACCGTGCTTTCTAATGAATGTGAAATACCTAATTTATTTGAATTATAACTATGCTTTAGACTTCGCGGACATTTTCGGACATTTCTTTGCTGACTTCGCTATGATGCGATGTGTATGATGTGTGTGGACCGTTGAGAAAATGTATACAAGGTAACATTTTTAAAATAGATGCATCTGACTGGTTGCATTTGAACAGACTGTACACAGACACAGAGGAGGGGGACTCAAACCCACATGACATGGGGAGCACATGCAGACTGTACACAGACACAGAGGAGAGGGACTCAAACCCACATGACATGGGAAGCACATGCAGACTGTACACAGACACAGAGGAGTGGGACTCAAACCCACATGACATGGGGAGCACATGCAGACTGTACACAGACACAGAGGGGGACTCAAACCCACACGACATGGGGAGCACATACAAACTACACACAGATATGGAAGAGGGGGGGGTCAAATGCTGACCACTGAGGCACCACGCTGCCCCAACAGTTAACAAAACAGATATTGCAAAAATTTTAATTATGCGAATACCAGAATTCCTAATACTGATCCAGTATTCCAGAAATCCATTTATAAACGTACTCACTTTGGTATAAAACAACTGTGATTTGAAAAAATGTGATGATTCCCAGTAGGATTCCAATTCCTGCTTTATCTCCTGGAGTTGGGGAATGGTTTATTGAAAAGTCAATGAACAAACCTGAAATGAGGTAAGAATTGTCAGTCAACATGTTATTACAGTTTTTCTGAAATGCAATGCTAAAGCACAGTTCCTGAAACTATGTAATATCATTTAGCACTTCATAACGCATAGAGAATGTAATCATTAGGACTCTTTTAGGAAGCTGATGTAAACTATGGAGAGAGTGACCTTGTAACCTTTAGAGAATGCAGACCAATTACTGCTGTGCACAATCTGACGAAAAACAAGTATGAATGAGCACCTTGTGTTGGCTTAGAAGTTTCTGTATCTGTTAGCCATTTTGTTAGCCTTTAGTGTATGAAAATGTACTTTATTAGTGCTGCAGCGTGTCACTATGTTGAAGGACAAATATCTTATTAACCCCCAAGCCAGTAGAGATGCGCGGATCAGCTAAAATGTCACCCGAATCCGCGGCTTTAAACAAATCATCCACCCGCCACCCGCCCGCACCTATAATTTTCTCTGATATAGATATCCGCACCCGCTTCTTCGTTTTTAACAGCAGATTCAGTGACTTTAGAGCTAATCTGCGCATCTCTGATAGTAAAATAATATGCGTATCGTATGCTGCTTTAAATGAACATTTATTCATAAAACAAATTTTGTCTTTGGCCAGATTAACCAACATTTTCTCAATAAAATAAACAGTCTTTAGCCTACTCCATTCAGACTTTAATGGGAATATCACCGTTTCTGTCGCTGCAACACATAAACACACAATGACTGGATAACGGCAAATTTATTAGCCCTATCTATTCAAATAATACAGAATATTATGCTTTCCAAATAGATTTTTAAAAAAAGAGAACAATTAAGAACTTTTTTTCCCAAAAAAAACTCGTAGGCACTTATACAGACGATAGGTAACAGGCGATAGGCACTTCGCTAAACCGCTCCCACACAGCACTTTTCTTTCCTTCCTTTTGTTCTGTTTAAAAAATTCTCCCTTTTTTAGTCTCTTTCGGATCTGTTTCGCCTCCATTTCTGCTTTAAGAAATGGACCCCCCTCCTCCCACCACGCACGTATTTTTTTAAAACGAGAGCGCAAATAAGCAACTGTCTGCCTGATGAAAAATGCATTTAAAACATGTTCGTATTTTAGAGAATGTAGTTGATATTTGCATCATTAATGATTGATCTCATCCACCCGCGACCCACCCGCAATTAATTAAAATGTATTTTTTTATTACCCGACCCACCCAACCCGCGGATTATCCGCAGCGCCCGCGGATATAACCGCCATCCGTGCATCTCTACAAGCCAGACAATCTGCAACAAGCAGAAGCTGGCAAGGTTTGCTACTGAAGGAAGGGATTCACCTGAGTTCACCAGAAGTTCACGGCTGAGCATTTTTAAAAAACCAAGTGGAGATGGTTGCGCCACCATTATGTTCGGCCGAGGGGCCAAATAGTAAAAGAAATAATGGACAAACTTATCACCTGGCCACACTTACCACACTCCCACATAGCAAAATTGGTATGGCCCGGATCTGGCCCACACTATGCGCTTACACCCGGCCCACATACCGCAATGAATGACGGCCCCTTGATGGCCCAGATCTGGTTTGCCAGAGGTGGCCCACACATGGACCAGCACAAAGCCAGATGCAGACATGTTGGTGGCCCTGTTCTGGCCCAGAACAGTTTCAGCTCAGCCACCAAATGTCAGCCTATATGTACCTTAATCAAGTCATGTAATACCTACTTAATATTAATTCAATATTCATTGAAATATTAAGTTACCTCAACATTCAAATAAAGTTGCTCTACATTATTTTATTTTTTTTCTACTCAGCCAATGGGGAAATAGTTAAAAGACTTTCTTTAGTATTAGTACCTTGTTTTACTTGAGTCAGGGGAAATAAAAAACAACCGCATTTCACAATTCAACATTTTAATAAATGCTAAATAATAATAATAATCATCACTTCATTAAAGAAAGTCCGTCATTCATTGCGGTATGTGGGCCGGGTGTAATCGCATAGTGTGGGCCAGATCTGGGCCATACCAATTTTGCTATGTGGGTTGTTTAATTAATTAAGGTTTTGTCAAATGAGTGACCAATTTTATAAATGAGTTTAGGAAATTGATGGTTTTGTTCCAAGAATGAGGTTTAGTCTTTTAGCAATTCAGAAAAACTGTAATATAAGGCAGAGGGAAAACAGATGTGTTCAGTGATCCTGTGTTTAAGACCCTACACTGCATACCCCTTTCACCTGAGGGTTCTCAATTTCAATCCCATGTTGAATATTGTTGTACTGAAAGTACATTTATTTATTTAGCAGATGCTTTTCTCCAGAGCAATGTATAAGTGAGTGTCAGAGAGCAGGGCCAGCCTGCGGTTAAGGGCCTTTCTCAAGAGCCAAATGGTGAAATCACTCTACCAGCCAAAGGACTTGAAACTTTCAGTTAGGGGCAGAAATCCACATATCCCATACTAAGAAGCAGATTAAGAACAGTTACAAAAAGTCAGTGAGGGTGTTTGGCTGGGAGACATTATTCAGCCTAAATCATGCTTCCAAACAGCTATAAAGCCAAGCTGCCCCCAGCCTAAACAAAGACAGTTTACTCCCTTAATCCATCAGCCTCCCTCTGGTCTAGGTGCTGACAGGAATCTCCAGGCCTTCAGAGCTGTGGAGCAGCTGCTTCATGCTGCTCTTCCACTGCTTATTATTATTTTAAATAAACCTCATTTCTTAGCTACTTAAAACCGCCCCCTTTCAGACAGCTGGGCACTGGAGCAGTTCAGGTTCAGCACCTGACTAAAGGTAAACAGGTCGAGCTTCTCCCAGGACTTGGGCTGGGAAACTTCAGGTTACAGGTCCTTGTCTTACCCACCCTGCTAAGGACCGTCCCTCTTAGCTGGGTTACTGCATGGGAGGGTAAGCTGGGGATTCAGAGGGGAATCGAGCTCTGATTTAAAGATGTATTTTATAACCTGCAACTCTGTGACTGACAGATGAATAATTAATGGTACATAATAAAACATTGGAGATGTGTGGCATCTACATATATTTTACCAGGAACTGCTGCTTTATTTTGATTTAGTTCTTGTGTTTCGAAACCATAAAATTTTACTGATCAGACGGTTTTGTCCAAAGCAGTGTACAATTTGGGATCTGACATTAGGGTCAGCTACTGTTCTTGAAGCAGCTGGGAAAAGCTATAGTTACTCTGCTACTAATGGGATTTAAACCCACAACCTTCCAGACGTGGGCACGGAGCCCTAACCCACTGATATACCAACAGTCCCACACCATTACAATTAAACTTACCTACAAATACAAAGATCATCACGACGGTGCTTCCTAAACGCAGGGCCATGTATTTAATAGCATTCACATTGTCTGTAAAATGAATACAAAAGTAACTTTAACAAATATAATTAATTAATAATTATTAGCTGTTGTGTCCAGACATCTCAAGTTACAACAGATACCCCCAATTAATAAAATTATATTATATGGGTCAGACTATCATAATATTCAAATTAAATTTTAAAAGATATTCAGCAAATTTAATTATATACCATCATCAGATATGCATGATACATAAAAGGTTTTCTACGTAGTGTGTGTATGTAATAGTAATACAATTCATTTAAAGGATACCTGAATGTTTTTTACATATACAGTATCAGAAAGTGGTTTGAAATGTAGATCAGTAAAGCTGTTATCACAGTTATCCTGTTATAAATTTAAATATACACACATACACACACACACAGCAAATACTGTTTCTGTGTGTATACAAAAATGGCATATAAATATTCATTCCGAAACACTTCTAAACACCTGTAATTATGTCACAGTTTTTTTCCACACTATCAACCTCTTTTAACAGTATATATAGGAAACAGAGTAGGAAACACATGGAAATAAGTCAACATACTTGTAAATAAGTCCAGATGTGGAGCCATAACAAACAGCACCAGGATACACAGCAGGCTGACAATAGTATAAGTAACAGCCTCTTCCATGGATCCTGAGAAACAAATTATAAAAAAAAACATATGGAATCCTTTCATCTTACAATATTTATAGGAGCACCCATTGTTGTTCCCCAGTTCTGAATGCAGCACTACTACTCTGTTTTCCATTTTCTTTAAATTTCTTAGCCTCTTCCTTCCTTTTACTCTGATGAACTTCATATTGGATTTTGTGTTTCCTGTTACTTCATTGCACCTGCTTGCACCTTATAGTACACAAGGTTAACGAGGGGGGCGTGGCACACGGAAGGAGTGGACAGATCGGGGCAGGACACATTGCTTTTTTTAAACTTTACACATTGTTTGGATACATTTATTTTCTTACTTTACAAATTACTGTTTTGATGAATGTGCTTAGATGTGTTTACTTATGCTCTTCTTGTTTTATCCTGTTCATTTTGTGTTTAAATGCTAAAAAAAACATATTTATGTGTAATTTTTTGGGGCCGGGAACCAATTAATATCTTTTCCATTATTTCTTATGGGGAAAATTCGATCAGAACTCAAACTTTTTAGGATTCAAACCTGAGTTCTGAACAGATTAAGTTCGAGTTCTGAGGTACCACTGTATATGAATCAATCACCCACCACCATTGTGTCAGTCTGAACCCTCAAAATCACTCCAGGTACATTTATTGTAAGCATTCTCTTAAAATAAACTGCATAACCATAGATTACAGTATTGCAAGGCCACTGAATTTAAGAATTGGCGAACAGTTCTAATAATCTCGTAAACACTTGTAAATAGCCCCATTGTGTAATTGTTGTTAGCATAGATACTTGTTGTGCTGTGTACCCGGCTGTTACGTGTACAGTTGGGTGTGTTTGTACTCAGTCCTTGCCAGATCCTGACATGCATCCACTGTGTGTGTGCCTTACTGTCCTTAGTGTAACTTCCCCGTGTTTCTCTGCCATTCAGTGTCTCTGTGTTGTTGTTTGGCTGCGGTCCTTTTAAGGATTACATTAATAGAGCAACTTTATGAAAGTCCGCACCTCCTAGTGTTTGTTTGCAGCTGCTGTCACGATGCCTTGGTCCACCTGGCACCACAGTTTATTCTTAAAAATTAATTTTTCATCAATGCCATGTAAATCATGCATACGACCAATTTAACTTATGTGTAGTATGACCAGTCATGTACTGGAGTTTACCATAAATACACCTGGGGGGTATTCTTCATACAAGGATTAAAAGGACACATCCTCATGAGCTCATCTTTTTTGATGAAGTTTCAATCTGACCAAAAGGAGGTGTCCCTGGAATGTCCTTGGCCAACGAATGTAACCATGTGCAGGGCTGGGCGTCTTTCAAAATTTTTCAATTATAATAATAATAATAGTAAATTTTATTTGTATTGCACTTTATATTTTAGCAATCTCAAAGTGCTACAGAGTAAAAATAAAATAATAAAACAGGAGAACCTACAAAATACTTTAAATGTCTTTCTAAAAAGATGAGTTTTTAGGTTTCGTTTAAAAGCATCAGTCGACTGTGGGGCTCTCAGGTAGTCAGGGACAGCGTTCCACAGCCTCGGCGCCACAGATGAGAAAACCCTATCACCCATGCTGCGGAGCTTGGTTCTGGGGACTTGGAGGGTGACGTCCATGCATCCAGCCTGCCGTTCTGCCTGTGTCATCTTCCTTGTATGACCCGCTCCCTGCCTTCTGGTTGCCTGGCCATTGGAGGGAGTGGTGGCACCGGCTTGCCATCCCCCCCCTGCTCCCCATTTGTGCCTCAAATTTTACTGTATTTGACTCTCCCTGCCGGCCCCTGGAGGATGGGCTCCCCCTTTGAGTCTGGTCCCTCCCAAGGTTTCTTCCTTCGAGGGAGTTTTTCCTTGCCACTGTTGCCTATGGCTTACTCACTGGGGGCTTTGGGTGGGGATGCTGTAAAGCACTTTGGGACAATGTAATGTTGTGATAATGCGCTATACAAAAATAAATTTGTCTGTTGTTGGGTGTTAGTGTGTAAAGAGCGGAGGGTGTGTGAGGAGGTATGGGGGGTGAGGAGTTCTTGTAAGTAAAGGGGGGCATGTCCATAGATGCACTGATGGGTGAGGAGAGAGACCATGTACTCTATCCTGAGTGGGACAGGGAGCCAGTGAAGGGTTTTCAGGATGAGGGTGATGTGGTCATGCTTCCGCACCCTCATCAGGATCCTGGCAGCGCTGTTCTGAATATACTGTAGTCTCTGGATATTCTTGCCAGGAATCCCAATGAGGAGTGCATTACAGTAATCCAGCCTGGAGGAGACAAAGGCATGGACGAGCTTCTCTGCATCTGCCAGGCTGAGTGTTGGGCGGAGTTTGGCGATGTTCTTGAGGTGGTAGAATGATGACTTACAGAAGTGTTTGATGTGGGTGTGAAAGGTGAGTTGAGGGTACATTTTAACACCCAAATTGGTGACAGATGTGGAAAGGGGGATGTTTTAGCCAGAGAAAGTGATACTGGTGATGGTAGAAGAGCGGAGATGGTGTGGTGTGCCAACTAAGATGGCTTCTGTTTTGTATCTGTTCAGCTGAAGGAAGTTGAGCCTCATCCATGCCTCTATCTCCTCCAGGCAGGTAGTCAGTGTGAATGTTGGCAGAAGAGCAGTAGAGGAGGTGGGGGCAGCCCTGAGGTAAAGCTGAGTGTCATCGGCATAGCAATGGAAAGATAAACCATGTCTGCTAATGACATTTCCAAGAGGGAGCAGGTACATGGTGAAAAGGATGGGGCCTAGCACAGAGCCCTGTGGGACACCACAGGTGACGTTGTGGGTGTGAGACTTTGCGCTGACCAGGGTGACATGCTCAGTTCTGCCAGTCAGGTATGATGTGAACCAGTTGTGAACATTTCCTGAGAGTCCAATGTTGTATTGCAGGTGGTGAAGGAGAATGTTGTGGTCTATTGTCTCAAAAGCAGCTGTCAGGTCAAGGAGGATGAGTAGAGAAGGGGAACCAGTATCTGCTGTCATCAGGTCATTGGTGACCCTGACCAGGGCTGTTTCAGTGCCTTGGCCAGGGCAGTCTCAGACAGTGGGTCGACAGTTGGAGGAGGCAGGATATCCATGGTGGAGAGGTGTGAGCGGATGTTATCAACTTTTTGTTTGAATGTGCATGTTGCACCTCTCCTTGGTGGCCTCGGAGTGGGCAGGTGAAGGAGGTTTGAGAAGGTGATTTATAGTTGAAAAAAGTTTTTTGGAGTTCCTGGAGTTGTTGCTGATGATGGTGGAATAGAACCTGAACCATGCAACCTTCAGAGCTTCTGCATACGCCCTCTTGTGTTCCATGTAAGCCTGTTTGTGGACAGTCAGCCCAGAGGCCTTAAGCTGCCGCTCAAGGACACGCCCAGCTGCCTTCATTTTTCGCAGCTCGCAGGTGTACCAAGGTGCTGAGCATGAGAATGAGACGGACCTGGATGTTAAGGAGGCGTGGAAGTCCAGAAGACTGCTCAGGGACTGGTTGTAGAAATCTGCAAGGTCAGCAACAGGGAGGGAGCTGGTAGGGTCAGAGGAGAGTAATTTAAAATCCGCCAATTAATTTATACTTTACCAGGGATTTCAAGTTTCAACAAAAGTTTGGAGTGAGAATACAACTGTTAGGGGCGCAGCACATGTTTCACGACCTGCTGCATTCATCGGATCTTGCTCTGCCACTTCCAACTTGTCTGCACTCTGTATGTGTGCGCATCCATGTAATAACGTGCTTGCAGCAGGATCACATGCAACAAAAGCTATTTTCTGATTGGCTGGTGTGGAAGTAAAATTGGACATTGGTAGGCCCGGGAGGGGAGGAATATTGGGTCTGTTATGTCTTAGGCCTTAGGCAAGAAGAGATTGTTTTGAATACTGTGTGACCTCGCTTTGTGATAGCCGCCTGCAGTTAGTTCTGCAGACCCTGAAGAGAGATCGGACCTTGGAAAGACAGACAGCGGAGCAAAAGGGGGGGGGGGAGAAACCACCTGCAGGAAAAGATTCGAAGCTGCCCCAACTGGTACACAAAGAATTATAGCTTAATAAAATAGCTGCAGTAGAAAATATGTAAAATGTTACACAATTGCAAATGTATACGTAATCATGTTAATCATACTAATCATGTGTTAACCATGTATTTGCAGTGATTCAATGACAATACGTCAGTGTATTAATCATTAATCAATGGAACACCCAAACATTAACAGTGATTCAATGTCATATAATCAATATCTATATACATATCTCAAGTAGAGTCTAGAAGCTGAGAAAGATTCCGGTAAATTGAGCAAAATGGGTGAACTTTGTCTTGCTACCATGGTGAAGTTATTCAATTTCACGTCTGTCACATGTGCTCAGGGTGAACCTGCTCTCATCTGTGAAAAACACAGGGCACCTGTGGCGGACTTGCCAATTCTGGTATTCTATGGCAAATGCCAATTGAACTCCACAGTGCCGGGCAGTGAGCACAGGGCCCACTAGAGGATGTCGGGCCCACTAGAGGATGTCGGGCCCACTAGAGGATGTCGGGCCCACTAGAGGATGTCGGGCCCTCAGGCCACCCTCACGAAGTCTGTTTCTGATTGTTTGGTCAGAGATATTCACACCAGTGACCTGCTGGAGGAAATGTTGTAGGGCTCTGGCAGTGCTCATCCTGTTCCTCCTTGAACAAAGTATCAGATACCGGTCCTGCTGATGGGTTAAGGATCTTCTACGGCCCTGTTCAGCTCTCCTAGAGTAATTGCCTGTCTCATGGAATCTCCTCCATGCCCTTGAGACTGTGCTGGGAGACACAGCAAACCTTCTGGAAATGGCACATATTGAAGTGCCATCCTGGAGGAGTTGGACTACCTGTGCAACCACTGTAGGGTCCAGGTATCACTTCATGCTACCAGTAGTGACACTGACCATAGCCAAATGGAAAACTAGTGAAAAAACAATCAGAAAAGATGAGGAGGGAAAAATGTCAGTGGCCTCCACCTGTTAAACCATTCCTGTTTTGGGGGTCGTCACAGGCCCATAACATGATGGACCCTCCAGCAAATTTTACAGTAGGCAACAAGTTCTTCTCCAGGATTGCTATGTGTGTTTTTGCCATGCATAGCGCCTCTGGTTGTGACAAATAACTCTACCTTAGTCTGTGCACAGTATTTTTTTCCAAAATGTATATGGCTTGTCCAGATGCGCTTTTGCATACCTCATGCAACTCTTCTTGTAGTGAGTACTCATCATCCTTCCACTGAGCTGTTCCTGGTACAAAGTGCGCTGAACTATGGAACGATGTACAATGACACCATCAGCATCCAGATGTTGTTGTAGCTCTCTGGAGGTGGTCTGTGACCCTTCTAACTTGCCTGTACATTTCATATATATTTTTCTTGGCCTACCTCATCTTTCCTTCACAAGTACTGCTCCTGTGGTCTTCCATTTCCTACCTACAATTCGGACTGTGGAAACAGTCCACACCTTTGTGATAATTTCTTGCACCCTTCTCCTAATTCATAACGACGAATTTTCTTCAATAGAGAGTTCTTTAGAGGTTCCCATGTTGCCACTCTCTAAGAGAGAACCAAGGACAAGCACAACTAGGAATTACGTATGTCAAATAACCTTTTTTCATGATTGGTTGCATCTGTCTTTGTAGTTAAGGTCTAATGAGTTCATCAAAGCAATTTTGTGCTGCAACCTGTCAGCATTGAATGACTACAGGTCTTCAAATTAATGCAATTAAAAGAGTGCCCAAACCTTTGCACATCCAATTTTTTTACATTTTATTTTATTTCATACAACTCAATAATGCTATACTGAGAATTTTGGTCTGATAAACATCCCATTGTGTACTCTAAAATAAAAATGGCATATTGCTGTGATCTTCTTTTATGAAGACAGAGCAAATTATCATGCAACCTCAGAGGGGTGCCCAAACTTTTACATAACACTGTATCTACAGTGCCCTCCACAATTATTGGCACCTCTTGCGAAGATTTGTAAAAAGGGTTAGACAAAATCTACCTTTCAGTGAAGTACCTTCATCTCAAATTGAAAAAATGAGAATCGTTATCACTATTCATGAAAAGGGCATGCAATGGATTAAGGGCAAGCAGTGAAATTTGAGCACAGGGACAAAGAGAATGGCTCTCAAGTATGACTCGATTCCCTTCCTTCATACCGAAGACTTGGATCATGAACCTGTCATCGCTATTCATTTCTCTATAATGGAAGACAACAGAGGCATGGTGTCCATGTTTTATACCAGGGGTGGCCAATATTTTCCGCAGAGCCAGTGTGTATGCAGGTTCTTGGGATAACCTTTAGGTCAGTTGTTCAAACCCAAGAGTGAGCACTCATTTAAATATAAACTCATATAAATACAAAGTTTAATCAAATGAAACAAACTGAATGACAGAATGTCTAACCGGAGAACAATTTCCAATTCCAGATTCTGACCATTGCTTGAAGAAATCGTAACACCAAATCAAAATGCCAAACTGTGCTGACACAACGACAGACCCACCCTTTAAATTCAGTTTCATGAAGCTAAACTGCTATCGAATAGGTTTAGTTCCATGCCTTCTTTGCCATGGAGATAGTCTGAGTTAATTTAGGATTCTGCTCTAAACCCATTCTCTGGAATACCGCCCCCCCCCTGGGTTTTTATTTGAGGAAATATAGTATAAATAATCCTGGGGAATTTTTAGATCTCCAAAAAAGTTCAAAATTTTTTTAAATCACTTTAAATGTAGGTTACTGTAATTATGGTGGTCACATTTGTTACTGCTAATGTATTTTTGTAGGACGTATTTTCTGGAAAAAATAAAATGAAAATAACAAAATGAAAATACAATATCCACTTTGCCATTTAGTTTTCAATGTCTATGAGCAAAAATCCTGCCAAAACTGAAAATTAAAATAAAATAGCATCATTTGCATTTTATTTTTCCAGTCATGTATGTCAGATGTGATAAATGTTTTAAAAAATTAATTAAAAAACATTTTCTAATTTGACTTTTCATTTCCTAGTTTGCTTTTTCATTTCCAAGTTCACTACATGCAAATATATGTTAATTGGAGCAGGGCAGTGGGCGGAGCTATGGATCACTGCAGCGCTTTCTCAGTGTGGTTGCAGATTCTGTTGTTCCCGTGTTCCTTGCGCATGGTTGCCTGTGTTGCCTAAACTAATGGCAAATTCACACGTGGCCTAAGTTAACCACTTATTTGCAGCTTTCTTATTTAGCTTCTTATTCGTAGTGTCTTATGCTAGTAAAATCACACTTCGAAATGCAATTAAATACACCACAATTCCTTTAAAGTCCTGTAACTTACTTTAAAACAAAACATGTTCCCTAAAACGGTGGACAGAGCTACAGACCCCCTTGTAACACCCTTACCCAGTTAGCTAGCAGTTAATGACCACCACTACTTGTGCAGTTCATAAAAGGACAGGTAATGTTTGTCGCGCTGTTGCACAAACATCACACTCGTTTATTTCAATTCATTTGTTGTTATAGACTATAGTGTGCGCTGTACACCCTATTTACTGTTTTGTTGCAGTCTGCACCTTCCAATTAATTTGGCTGCTTCTCCTCCAGCTCCGCACCACCCAGCCTGCAGAAAATGCGCATGCACTTTGCGAGCTCGTACCCGGCTCGTAACGAGCGCGCTCTGCCCTCAAGGGCGAGCATTGGTTAATGGCAGTCATGTGACTGATGCAAGCCAGATCCTTTTATTTAGCAAAATTGAGATTAATAGTTACATTTTATTGTTGAGGGGCAAAGACAGGGCTCCATACGCACATACACATTAAAAAAAAAAAACAAAAAAAAACAACAACAACAAAAAAAAACCAAGAAAAGGGCACTTGAGGCATCCTGGAGGAAAGGGGCGGTACTCAAGCCCCCTCCCCCCCCCCTCTGCACGTGCCTGCTCACTATATATGTAGTTTTCTTTCTCCATGAGTATGGGGTGCTGGGCTTCCTTATAAGGGCTGTTCTGTCCCTGTATTCCCGGTGCCAGAGCCTGGTCCGCAGTAAATCGGACTTGTTTCCGGTGAGGGTTGGACTCTGCCAGGGCTGCCCTTTGTCACTGATTCTGTTCATAACTTTTATGGACAGAATTTCTAGGCGCAGCCAGGGCATTGAAGGTGTCCGATTTGGTGACCTCAGATGGTTTAGTAATAGGTATTGGAGTTAGGGTGGGATCCTTCTTAGTGTAGCCACCTAACTCAAAAGTGAGGACCTGTTAAAATCGAAAATCCCCTTGGAAGTAATACCTTATTGTTATATTTTACCTGCCTCTGACATTCCCTAATGCTCTAAACCCCTCGGAAGGTTCCTGTCTGCCAGAGGCAGTGGAGTTTTTTTAAGCATATTAATTTGTGTGTGTTTTGTTTGTCTGAGTTAGCCCTATGTTTGTGCCGGTCTAATATCGGGGAGGGGAGGACAGGGTGGTGCGCCTTATTTCAGTTGGGGTGTGCCGTTTTGCTAGATTCCACTGTCATGTTTAGTGGTGTGACTTCCTGACAGAGGAACACCCTTGTGTTCTTCAGTGTTTTGCATTCTGCCCAGTGCTGTGACTATCCCTGAGACTGAGTGTGTGCCGTACAATGAAACCTTTAAATGTTTAAGGAAATAAAAGAAATTGATTCTTTGTATTTGGCTGTGGTTACTAGTCCTAATAACCTATGGAATAATTAGTATCATTGTGGCAACCTAAATTCAGGGTTTATTACATTACTAATTTTGGGCATCATAACACACCTCTCATATTTTAAGCATACTTCTAATCTGCTTATGGAATAGTGGGCATAAGTAAATGTCCGCAGAAAACCGAAAACCCGGCATCTGGACAAATTTTTACGATGGTCATTTAAAACTTATTAATCGCATTCCATTTGTCAGCACTGATTTGTGTCTGTTGAGACAACTTGCAGCAACACTACCAACTTATTTGACACACTATGTGAAAGGGGTCTCTGCAGAACACAGTTGGTGTTTCCCAACCAGTGTGGGCAGTTTTCAACCACAAGCGTGAAATACAACTCACTTGCTTCCTATTTGCGGAACTATGAGAACGCAAGAAAACAAACTTGTGTTTCAGGAATAAGAAAGACAATGTCACAAACACGATTGTGCCCCTAAATGCACCACATCTTCAAAATTAGGGAGTTTTAAGTTATCACGGCTTTCCAAACAATGCTGCACTAGGAAAGACAGTGGAAAGTGAGTATTCATCATGACCCCTTAACTGGCATGGCACACAGCAAAATTCAAATGATGTCCTATTTATAGGGGTAAGTAGGCTACTAATAATTATAATAATTATTACTAATAAACATAGTTGTAAAATATAACAGCAATATATCACCATGTCAGGGACTGACAGATTCAAGGGCCTTACTCATTAATGAAATCACTATGTTAACCATGGGATTTGTACCAGAGACCCACTGAGTCACACATCGCCCCAGATGAAAATTCCTGATCTGTCCTGAGTCTTCAGCCATAAATGTTCATCAATTTTCTATAGGCCATAATTTGAGTAAAATCACAAGTTGAATGAGCAAACTGAGGCAGATTTTAAAGCATTCCTTAAATTAATAGAAAAAACATTAACTTTTGAACCATATTTAATGGGCTTACCTTCAGTTACACCCCACAAGATGAATGCTAAGGAAACCATGATTGGTGGAACTGCGACTTGTGAACAGTGACACAACAGAGCCTGTCTGCTTTTACCTATAGACAGAAAGTAGAACGAAATTTAACTACAAGCTCTTTAACATTAGATGATGGTTCATGCAAAGTTTAATGATGTACAGCCATCTTCAGATGGTCATTCTGCTGCATGCTCACATAAAGACAACCAGCACAGACAGTTAATGTTGTCACAATACCAAAATTATGACCTTCATACTGATACCACTTTATGTATGATATTCAGGAGACATTTATGTAAAATGCATTTAAGTTGTCACTCTTGTAATTGTAATAAAGCCGCACTCCACTCCAGCATATACCCCATTATTGCCAAGCATCATATTATGATTGCTCTGATTCATTCAGTTACAAGGAAAATGATAATACATTCTATCAAATTCATAAATGGTATATCCACCAACGACTGAACTCCTGCTTTATTTTTATTAAAACATACGCAAGAGGTGTGGAGCACTTTGTGTAAGGAGAGTAATAGGGGCTACTGGGGTGGAGGGGGATCAGTATGGAAATCAGTTGGTTAGGCCTATATGGATTTTGGAGGGCACTGCGCTGACTAGAAAGATTAGTGGACGTTTCGAAAGTTGTATGCCATATTGAAAGGTTAGTGGATATGTTTAAAGGTTTGTGTGCGTGTTGAAAGGTGAGCATTTCGAAAAGAGTAGGATGTGTCCGAATTCAGGGGGTTGCATTCTAAGACTGAGTGCATCACAGCAAGATGACAAGGGTGTCCCATTTTGAAAGCTCCGTCAAATGTGGTCTAGGAATGCATCTTCATTTGCAGAGTTGCGAAGGATCCACTCTTTGGGCCCTTCGTAGCCCAACATATCCCAAGATTAAGATCTTTAAAAG